CTTCATTGCTATAGAGAGCAGGGCCTGTAGATGCAAAGCAGATGAGGGAGTATTTAAAGGACACAACTCTTGCCCTGTTTTTTTCCCCTAGGATTCATGTGTATCTGGAGTTTGGGAGGAACCATGGGGATGAATAACTCTAATCTTATCACATCAGAGATAACGAACTTGCTAGAAGTTACCTGAGTTCACAAAGTTCATCTTGGGCCCAGGAGGCCATTTTCCCACAGTCTAACACTTGCTGAAACTCAGGGTAAGGCACTACCACTTACTGGAGTTGAAAACCATACTAATTATTTTAGGATGGACCGAAAACAAGGCTTATATGTTCTGGCAACAGGCCCTTCAGCCATTGTTTTGAGAACTTGGGCAAGATAGCAAAGACAGAGAGAGAACCCAGAGAGAAAAAACATATAAACTAGAAGCACAGCCTTTGAAATGTCATACTTCTCCCTGTTGGTTCGTGTGGATTTGGAATGTGAATTTACAAAGACTAACATGAGGAAAGCAGGCCTCTTAAGTTTATGGGGCATAATATATACTTTACTAGTAAATTATTCATTGTAATTAGGAATGATTCATATTAATTTGGGATAACTTATTTTGCCAAAATTTAATTGGGACAACCACATGCTGGCAAAACAGCGTAAATTGGTTTTAATCATAAAACAATTATAATACAACATCCCAACACCACAAGGAACTGTTGTGGAAAATACCACCCCCCAATCCTGATGTAGGAATTATTACTTGCTGTGATTTATGTTACTCTCTATATACTTGTTTTTAACATAGAAACCTCACAGGATCTCTCTTTTCATGTCTGTAGTCTTCCATGCCTCGCTCATTGCCAGCAACAGAAATATCTGAAAATTAATGAGTGGAAAAAAGAAAAAGGAGAAATTGTTCTGTAATTCTAGAATCACTGGGTTTAAAAAGATATCCTAAATCAAGTCAAACAACAGTGCTGTTTATAAATCTGTAAGAGAAATTCACACGGACAAAAAAAGCCAACTTTATTTTATTACTTTATTTTCTAACTCTGAAATGAGTTAGTTAAAAGAGTACAGGTCTATGCTGAGTTCAAACACAGTGAAATCAAGAGAAACTTAATGCAAGGAGTAAGGGGGGAGATTTATATTTTTGAAAGCTAAGGTGACTGATGTATTTGAATTCCTGGATTACAATCTTCAGGCAAAGACACAGATTTTCCTTCTTTTCTGGGATCGTATGTTAACTGATCATATGTTAACTGGACTGTTAACTCCAGGGCTCTCTATAGAAGTTTAGGCCAGGAGTCTGTTTCCACTAATGTAATGTTAGTTAAAATCCAACTCTGAGAGGCTGTACAGGTCAGATCAAAGGATCCCTAAAGAGATCCTGCTGGTATTTGCACTGGGCCTTAAAGAAGCAAGCAAATGTACAATTTCCAAGTGATCATATCACGTCTCCTAGGACGGAGTTTGTCCCAGAAAAACCATGAAGTAGGCAAACTCCCTTGGGGTTCAGTGAATTCTTTTCTAAAATTAAGAGGATTGGAATGCAAGAACTCCAAGATGCTTCACTTTTACATAGTGTCATATACCCACTTGAAAGATTGTTGTAAGGGTGCATGGTACAAACCCTGGCACAGAGTAAACCCTCCATGAAAGGGGACAAATATAATGATAGTGATATTTTTGGTTAGGCTGCATCTTCTTTCTATACCTTTCTTCCCTACAGGGTCATCTGCTACAGAATCATCCCTCTACCACTTTAAAAATAAAGTCAAAATAGGGTCCAGCAGATGGCGTAATGGTTACGTCACTGGACTCCCACATAGTCGACCACAGTTCGAGTCCCAGATGCAATGGCTTAAAACTCACGCCAGGCACATGTACGTGTATGCCCAAGATCCCCAGGGAAGAATGGAGAAAGGATTACAGCATGGCCATACACTCCTGCCACTCCCAGGGGGGTGATTTCTTGCTTTCTGTCTGTTTCTCTCTGTTTCTCTGGTGAGCACATGTGTCTAATAGCAAAAATCTCTCTTAAAAAAAATAAACTTTTAAAAAATAAAATCAAAATAAACTACTCTAGCCTTCAAACTGGGACAGTTCACTGAACCTTTCCTTTGGAGTCCAGGAACCTAGTATAACTTTCCCAAACTTAGCAAAGGTTACTAGCTAGTGGGAATTAAAGTTGGATCTCATTGAATCTGCATCACATAGAAGCAGGTGCCTCTTGCACTCAGGGAAGTGGATGTGTTTTTAATCAGTTCTATGGTCATTATATATCCTGAAAGAGACAAGAGCCCAAGATTCTTTTCTCAGATATCAAGATGGAAAACAATCCCAGAATTCACCCAGAGAGTTAATCAGACTTCTGGACCCATACTAATTGTTAACCAAGTAATACCACAAAATTCAATGGCTAAGGATCTCTGGCTGGTTCTAGTTTTTAAGAATCTGTTCCATACAGTTAATAATTCAGAAAAGCCAGGCCTTAGTTGTTATAAAACACAAAGAGTGAGAAAGCAGGAGACTTATGGTTTCTATCAAGTTTGTCATTATCTCTAAAAAGGCTGATAAGTCGGTTTTCTGTGTCTCAGTCTCCAAACTTGTAAAGTGAGGGAAGGGAACATGCTCTAACAATGCAGGAGTTTCTGGGGAAAATTAGCTAAGAATAGTGTTTTTTTTTTTTTTTTTAAGTTATACAAATGAAGAAATATTTTTTTCTTTTTTCTTTTCTTTTTTTTTTGTGCCCAGGGTACTCAGGGACTTTTTTTTTTTTTTTTTTGGAGAGTTTTTTGCTATAGGGTGCGTGCGCTCGTCGGAAAGACAGAGAGAGACAGAAAGACAGAAAGTGAGAAATTACCCCTAGGGCAGACGGCCATGCTGCAATCCCTTCTCCTCCACTCTCCTCTCGGGATCTTAGGCATACACGCACACATGCCCAGCATGAGTTTAAGTCACTGGGTCAGGGACTCGAACTGTGGTCAACTACACAGGAGTCCATTGACATAGCCCTTACACTAACTGCTGGTCCCAGAATATTTTTTCTTGCTTTATTTAGATGTTATCAGTGTACACCTTCACAGCAAAGAATCTTCCCAGCATGAATATACTACATATTAGTCCAGTCAAAGATATTACCATAGGGGAACCAGCAGTTAGCGTAATGGCTATGTCGCTGGACTCCCACATAGTCGACCGCAGTTCGTGTCCCGGACCCGGTGGCTTAAAACTCACGCCGGGCACGTGTGCGTGCGTGCCCAAGATCCTGAGAGGAGAATGGAGGAGAAGGGATTGCGGCATGACCATCCCCCCTGGGGGGTGATTTCTCGCTTTCTGTCTGGCGATCGCACGCGCCCTACAGTGAAAATCTCTCCAAAAAAAAAAAAGATATTACCATACACATCATCCTTAACAAATAATTTTACACTTTTGTGTCTGTTAAATGGTTTTCTCCCCCCCCTTCCCCACTGCTCACCCTCCTCTCACACTTAGTATCCTCTGTGCCTCTATATCTTCCAGTCTTTCAGTTTCTGTCATAAGAGTGCAGACCTTCAGTGTATATTGTGAGGCTATTAAATGTTCCTCTTTCATAGTCGGGCTTGCCTCACTCAGCACTATACATTCTTCACTTTCTATCAAATGCCAGGGTCTTACCTTTTTTTGTGGGTGAGTAGTATTCCATAGTGTATATGTGCCACACTTTTTCGATCCATTCATCTGTCTTGGACATTTGGGTTGATTTCATGTCTCAAATGAAGGATTTTTATCTCCATTTATCTGAAGGTGGGTTTAAGCAGGTTCAAAACAAAACTAAAATAACTTCTTAGAATAAATTGCAGCAGGAAAATAGAGGAATTAACAAGCATGGCAAAAATCAAGTGTTTTACTGTAAGAATCGCAGGACAGCAAAAAGACTATGCTTTAAAAGCAGAACTTCTGTTAGCTCCAAATTTTTAAGATGAATTTGTCATAGTTAATATATTAGGTGGAACACGAACTGATGTTTTCTCATCTATGTTTACTCTTGGGCAATGTGTCTTGATATATTGAAAGTTTTTTTTTTAACTATAGGGTCACACTGCATTTATTCATCATCGCTATCCTCCCATCCATATCTTAACTTTACTACCTGCAACACAAAATACAGATATGTCCAGTTTCACTACAGCTCTTTTTCGCGTGTACAAGTGTGGAGCGCTCGCTTTCGGAACGACCTCTTGATTGGCTGAGCCAATGCCAGTGACATCAACCAACTTACTTTTGATTGGAAGACTGGTTGCTGGGACTGTAGCGTTTGCAGGAAGTCACTTAACTGTTTGCGAGCTGGGAAACCGGAGCTGAAGTTTTCTTTTGTCACAGGATCGAGCGCAACTGACTAGGGAAGATGTGTCCCAAAGCTCCGCGAGTTGGAACGTGAGCCAGCGAGCCTGGACCGGCTACTAGACCCAGGGGCGCTCCCGAAGATGAGCGACGGCCGCTTTCCTGCCTCCTGGCTGTTACCCTTTTAAATGTCAGCATTCGAGGCTGTAGGGGTAGCACGAGGCATCGAAACGGAACAGTCGGATTGGCCGCACGCCTCAGTTCTAGACGCACTTCTCCACCAAAAGGCCGTTCTGACTGGCAGGGGGAGAAAGTAAACAGAGTTGAATCACCCTCCCCACTGGCCAATTGGAGGGGGTTTGGATTGTGACGTGATGGGATTCTGCGAAATTGTTACTGAGCAAGAGAATGCCGGAACGGTGCGGACCGGCAGGAGCGGGGGCTCAGAAGCTGTCCGTGGACCCGGGGAAAAGTGTCTCTTAGACCTAGCGCTCGGTCCGGTCCTTGCCACCCGCGTCGGAGTGGTGGGGTGAATGTGCTGGGGCTTTGGCTCGACGGAGAGGCGGCCGAGGGCGTGCCTCGCTTGCAGTTTCCTCTCCCAGCGCCTCGGGGCGTTTTCAGTCGAATAAACTTGCGACCGCCACGTGTGGCATCTTTCCAAAGGAGCCGGCTCGGAGAGCCGCGGCCGGTTACGTAAAGATGAGGGGCTGAGGTCGCCTCGGCGCTCCTGCGAGTCGGAAGCGCCCCGCGCCCCCGCCCCCTTGGCCGCCGCGCAGCGCCGCGCCGCGCTCGTCCTCCGAGGCCAGGGCAGGGCGAGCCGAACCTCCGCAGCCACCGCCAAGTTTGGCCGCGCCGCCGGGGCTGGTGT